AACAAATGTATACAGATGTGTACAGAAACTAACAGAGGGACAGTTCTTGATATATGGTGTTCCCCATCTTGTAGCCTCTTCTCTGTGGGAGGGAAATAAATATGGCATCTTGCACTCTGGCACTAGCAGAGGCTAACGGGTCACCCACATCAAGGTCTAAAAGGCCACATTATAATTAATTCTCAGGTGTTTCTGCTTTCAGTTGGAGCTTTAAGTGAATTTTTATGAATCATCTCTTTCCTTAAAGCAACCAGTGAACTCTATCAGTCATTAACACAATGGTATGGATGAGTGTGAGATGCTTCCCCTGAATACAGAGCTTGTGAGCAAAGGGTGGAAATAGCACCAGAGTCCCAGGGCTGGGAACACACCAGCCTCATCAGTTTGAAGGATAGATGGATCCTGTACACCTTATGTCTTCTTTTAATTAGTTTTTTTGGAGATAAAATAATCTTTTTTTTTTTTTTTTTTGCTTTTTGGGTCACACCCAGGGATGCACAGGGATCACTCCTAGCTCTGCACTCAGGAATTTCCCCTGGCGGTCCTCAGGGGACCATATGAGATGCTGGGAATCGAACCCGAGTCGGCTGCGTGCAAGGCAAATGCCCTACCTGCTGTGCTATTGATTCAGCCCTAGAGACAAAATAATCTTATCTAGAGAAATTTACTTAGAGAAATACATGGAGGAGAGAGAGATGTATTTAAAAGAGAACATAGGTTTCTCTAGAGAGGGAAAAATCTCAGGTAAAGATGGGGCTAAATCTCCAGGGCAAAGATTTACCCTCTTGCCCTTACAATGTCTGGCTTCAAGTAGGAATTCTCCTAAACTTCCTCCCTACCTGGGGGCTTTGTATGTCTTTTAGAGCCAAGAGGAAGAGGTTGAGCTGCTGATGGTCCTTTATTATTTTATTAGGAACTTTAGATTTTCTAGATTCTCTAGAACCTTATCCTTTTCTAAGGGGGAGGGGGCACCCTTCTCTGGGTGCAGCCATCTTTTCGGTGGTGCTTCATTTTCTGTCTCTAAAGAGACCAGTATTTGCATCTCTAAGGAGTTTGATCTTCGTGCCCTTGGAGCTTTATCAGGGCTGCTGGGTAGGCAGTTGCCCAGTAAGCTCATTACCAGGCACCCAACCATCCCAGTCAACCTCCCTGCCCCCTACCACCCTAGAGATTTCACTCCTTTAAATCTTTCTTTTTTCTAAGATAAAGGACAATTTTTATAGGTACAGGTAAAAGTTAGATCATTAGCAACTGGATTAGTATTAGGGACAAATATTGTGATTGTCTTCTGGATTAAGAATTCCAGATCAATGGTATAAATGTCCTAAGTTGTTCAAATTGTACATTCTTTCAAGACTAGATAACATTTACTGTTGTATTTTGAATTGTTTTGCCATGTAATTCTTAATTTACCATCTCTTCCTTTTACTACAGAGTTACTATAGTATTTGTTATTTTATGTTTCTAGAATATTTTGTGCACTAACTTTTTTTTAAATTTTATTGAATCACCATGAGATAGTTACAAGCTTTCATCTTTGGGATACAATCACACAATGATCAAACACCCATCCTTCCACCAGTGCACATTTGCCACTATCAATATCCCCAGTACACCCTTCCTTTCCCACCCTCCCCTGCCTCCATGGCAGACAATTTTCTCTACTTTTGGGCATTATGGTTTGCAACACAGACACTGAGAGGTTATCATGTTTGGTCCTTTATCTGCTTTCAGCACACACCTCCCATCCCGACCAGTCCCTCAAGTCATCATTTTCTTAGTGTTCCCTTCTCTATTCCAGCTGCCTTCTCCCTTTTGCTCATGAGGCAGGATTTCAGCTATGGAGCAATCTTCCTGTCCTGTGTATCTACTATCCTCAGCCTCGTGTTATGTTGTTTCATGCTCCTGAGCTTCCATATGACCCCGCAATTCCACTTCTGGGAATATATCCCGAGGATGCAAAAAAGCACAATAGAAATTACATCTGTACCTATATGTTCATTACAGCACTGTTCACAATATGCAAAACAAGTGCCCTAAAACAGATGACTGGTTAAAGAAACTTTGGTACAACTACACGATGGAATACTATGCAGCTGTTAGGAGAGATGAAGTCATGAACTTTGCTTATATATGGATAGACATGGAGAGTATCATGCTAAGTGAAATGAGTCAGAAAGAGAGGGACCCCTTTAAATGTTGAAGGAATACTGGATGAAGATCTGTCTTCAATAACTACTTTCTGCTATCTGTCATCTTTTTAAATGCTTCCTCTCCTCCATGTCTTTTCAACACCTGAATCTTTTCATCAGTAAAAGATAAAATATATGTTTGCTTTATAAAAGAGCAGAAACAATTATGTTGGATACCATTGAGTAAAAGTATGTGGAGTTATATTAAAGATTACTATGTTTAGGCGGAAACATCCCCATGAGACTCAACAAAATTGAAGAGTAGGACTAAAGAGATAGCACAGAGCTCAGGGGCAGCTTGTTGGGTCCTTTGCACCAGGTGCCCCCCAACATAGCAGTTCTTGGCCCTGGAGACCCTGAGCATTGCAAAGGCGTGACAGCAATGCAGCATCACATTATGCTCAACCATCTCATCTGGCTGCGTATTTCTGGGAGGAGGCCTGGAGTGGACCCTGAGCTCCTAAGCCCTGCTTGGGAAATGCTTCTCCCCAAAGCTGAAGATTAAGTGCAAAAAGATAAGTGTAAGTGGTAAGGCATTTGCCTGGCTTCCTAACAACTCTGGTTCAAATTCCCAGTTCCACATATGGTCTCATGAGCACTTTCAGGGGTCATTCCTGAGCACACAGCTAGGAATAGGCCCTGAGCACCCAGTGCATGTGGCCCCCAAACCAAAATAAAATAAAATAAAATAAATAAAATTGAGGATTGTAGTCACTACTTATATTTACTTAGAGTTCACCTCAGTTGGAAGCTTGCCTCATGAGCTGGGGGAGAAGGCAGCTGGGATAGGTTAGGGATCACTAAGTCAATGATAGTTGGAGGGATCACGTAGTATGGGAGACATGTGCTGAAAGTAGATAAAGGACCAAACTTCATGGCCTCTTATTATCTGTATTGCAAACCATAATACCTATAAGTAGAGAGAGAGAAAGAGGGAAACTGTCTTCCACAGAAGCAAGGGAAGTGGTGCGACGGGAGGGAGGGATACTGGGGACATTGGTGGTGGAAAATATACACTGGTGAAGGAATGAGTGTTCGATCGTTGTATGATTGAAACTCAAACATGAAAGTTTTGTAACTGTAGCTTATGGTGATTCGATGAAAAAAAAAGTTTTAAATGATAGAAATAAGGTCTTTCAGGAAAAAGATTGGCTTTCATCAGAAGAAACTGTCTTATTTTTTTATTCACAGTATTATCCCTATTTCTTTCTCTCCCACTTGAATTCTAGGGGAAAACAAGCATGATATAAGCAGAGCAGAGACCAGCTGAAAACCACTTTCCCCTACTCAGCCCTGGCAGGATAGGGTAATGAAACAGGATCTCATTAAGAAACAGAGGTTTAAACTTAGGCGGGGGTGGGGGCCAGGTTGTGAAATGAGTGTTTCCTTCGCTTCCTCCTCTGTTTTGCCCAGCACTCAGAATTTTGACTGCCTGCATAATCCTTACTTCTCAGTCCCCTGGGTAACAAACAATATTGAGTCTTTGAAATTGTGGTGACACTGTTCCTCTCTTTGGGTCAAACCGTCAAGTACATGACCCTGGGGTTTCTGGCACCCAGAGGGCATTTTCCCAATAAACAGTGACTGCAATCAATGGAAAGACCAGCTTTTATTCCCCCCCCTTTTTTTCCCTTTAAATTCTTCCCTACCTAAATTGAACTCCCTCCCCTCCTAACCTAAGCCCCCTAAGGGCAGTCAAGGATATAAGAAACAGTCACAACACCCCAGAAATACTTGAATAAATTCATTTGAAAGGGGGATTTTGGAAAACAAAAATTTTCCAACTTGCTACTCATTTTGCACAAATTTTCAAGTACACGTTTGTTTCTCAATCTTGGCCTTCTAAATTCTTACGTAATTGTTCAGAGTAAAGCATTTTTAATGACCAAAGTTGATGGGTAATTTTCTATAACAGTAAGAAAAATGAAATTGCTTTTACTTGTAGTAAAGACTCTTTGAAGAAGTTTTGGATTTATTTGGGGGTTATTTTTATTTTTTGAAGCCCATTAAAATCAGTAGTTGTTATGCATGAACATAATTAAACTTTGAATACGTGGTTCACAAACGGTCTGGTTCTAGCTAAGAAATCAGAGGCAAGAATTTAAGATTCAGCAGCATGAAAAAGCACAGGAGTTAACTTTCCAGTATTTATTTAATAGCTGTGACACTGGACAAAATCCTCGAGAGATTCTTAGAATCAGTCTTTCCTTAATATCTAGAAAGTTCTTTTAATTATCTAATTAAATATCTTGAGAGATTAGTTTGAGTCAAAGAGAGAAAACACGATACCAGGGTATAGTGGATTATTAACACAAGTACATAACTTGTGTCTCATGCAATTTACAGTTTATTAAAAGTCAAATTATCTGTCAAGACAATCTTTGCCAAGTATTTGTAATATTAATGAGCAGGTTTTTGCTCATCATATTTATTGACTGTCAATACTTATTTTAAGTGACTGAGTCACCTCAAGTTTTAAAGAAAACAAGGTATAAATCAATTAAACAAAGAGAATAATTTCCAACTGCTGGCTGGAATCATAAGGACATCTTAGAGAAAAATCTCTGAAACAGAAAAACACTCCCCCTTAGTGCGTATCAACTTTTATGGTAACTGAAAAGAATACATAGAAACTTAATATCATGGCTACTGAACAGACAAACAACATGGAAATAATTTGTCCTTGTTTCCTGAAAGCTACGAATCTAATGAAGAACTTTATGAAAACAGCAAACTAAAACAAAACTCTCCCCCACCCAGTAGTAGATAGGGAAGCATTGTTGGGTCAGAAAGTCAGGAAATACTTACAATCATTATGAATGTGCCCAGGAACTCAGAGATGGTTTCTTTAGCTAAACTGCTTTTTAAGACCAGTCTCTGCTTGAAGCTTTTCCCTTTGTATTTCTTCTCTGGCTGCATCTTGCGGTTTCTCCAAGGACCACTCTTTTGTTGGATGCTTGCTTTTTCAGGCTTCTACTTCACTTGCGTGTGTTACAGAGGTTTTGACAAATGCTCAGAGATTCTTGGAGATGTCTGGTGAGATTCTCTGACTGCACCAACTAACACTCCCTATTACAGCCCGTGACTTAATCCTCTCCTAGTAAAACTTTCATTCCCTGTTCCCTGCTGTTGAACTGAATTTGCGAGTTGGAACCTGAAATCCTCAAAACAAACCTCTTTTTTTTTATTGTGCCTGGTAGATTAATCATTACCTTTATTCTCAAGGTATTTTTTTTCTCTGCTGTTATTTTTTTTTTTCAAGAGATGAGAAAAGAGATGTTGTGCGATCGTGTTGCCAAACCACAGTGATGGGCCTGAGTCCAAAAGAGATTTACATGTTTCACAACTACAGCCTTCTGATTTTTTTTTCTTCTTTGAAAGTGGGTGGCTAAAGTGTTTGGGATTGTCAAGGATGCGTACAAATACATCCAATGTAGACATTATTTTCTGAAAGAACTTTTCATGAAAATTGGAAATAATAAATAAAATAAAGATATACTATTTGCAAAATTAATCACACATTTTTCTCCCAGTATCCTTTTAGCGGTTGAATGACCTCTGCATCCACTTGGAGATGAAGTTAACACAAAGGGAGACCTTTGCAAATATCACATAGACTTACATACTTGTAAACTTCCTCTGCGGCTTATCTAATCTTCCTCTGCTGAGACTGGTTTGAATCTTCAGAAGATGGAAAAGGCAATTTGTTGAGTTTCTTCTTAAGAAGAAACACAATTTGAAAATCAAGTTATACACCCCTCATTGAAATATGTAGGAAACAGAAAATTAACAATAGCAGCTTGAAACTCTAAACGACTTTGAGATTACCAAGCCAGAAAGAGATTGGTTCAAGTATACGCCACCACTTAAACAAGAGTCTGAGGCTAGACCATTTAAGTTAAAATAATTAACATCCTTGCCAGTACAAACTATGTTTAGGACTTTTTGTCAAGGCAAATATTTCAAGCTTTGTTTTTCAAAACTACTTTGAAAAAATAAAATCCAGCAGTAGTTTGCAAATACCAAGGCAGCCTCAGGGAATTAGCACCCACATTATATGCTTTCTCCAACCCTCCCACAAGGGAACAGCTCTAATTCCAGTCCTCACTTACCTTTGCAAGGGATCCGCAGTCATTCCCAGCCAAAGAGGCAGGCTGGCAGGAGAAGTGTGAAGGGAACAGCTGTTGAGGGTCCAAGAGCAGGGGATAAAAAAATCACCTAATATGGAAATATAGAATTTAGCTCTAAAAAGTTGTAACTTGCTTGTGGACACATCATGGCAAACCAAGGACAAGGAGGCAGCATTAGCCCTCTAACTCTGGTGAAGGTTTCATGGAAACTATAGTCTAGACAACGTATCTATAACCACAGTAATCCCATGCCCAGTGGATGGACCAGAGAAACAGGGCTTTATTTCTGTAATACACAAGGCTATTCTTTAGTTTCTTCATTCACTCATGGAACAAATATTTATGGCATACTCATTATGTGCCAACCACTACTCTTAGTAGAAGTGTATGGGATTATTGCCTCTCACAGACTTATAGTCTAGGGAGGAAGACAGACATAAGTGAAACAATCACACTTACACACACACACCAATAAAAAATCACTACTGAGGCACATGATAGAAAGGTAGGGAAACTGATTTTTATGGGAAAACATAGGTGGGTGATTTCATCTTGTCAGAAAGCTCTCTGACAAAGTGAAAAAAGCTTTTCTCTAAGGAAACCAGGTCTAGACCCAATTGGGAAGAATATGTAGGGGCTAACTATATGAAATGGGGATGAAGTGCACGTTCAAAGGCCTTGAGAGTAAGAATGTGAGCATCATGATGTACATCCAAGAATGGAAGAGCCCCCTTTGATTGACTCCAGACACCATGAAGGAACCTGGTGCCAAAGGAGCCTGGAGCCATGGGCAAGTATCAGACCATTCTGAACGTCGAAAATAATGGTTAGAGCTAACAGTAATAAGCTCATGATATGGTTTTAAGGAGAAAAATACTGCGATAGATGACTTTTAAAAAGTCATCTTGGCCATGATGTGATGAAGGGATTGGAAAGGTCCTAAGGTAGTCAGTTATAGGTATAGATTCATGAGTAGATATCATAAGAATTCTAGGACAAAGTAGTGGCTGTGACAATGGGGAAAATGGATATAATTGAGTATTCTTTATATTGAGTATTCCTTAACAGTTCCGGTAAAACTGGAACATTTTAGTGCATTGACTATGAAAGATCAGGAAAAGGGACTCATGGAGGTTGGTTGATATCTGTGCACTCAGAGAGGTGTCAATTGAAATTATGAATAAAAAGGAAATTACTTAGGGCGTTTGAAGAGAGTAGAGACTGTGATTATGGAATGAGACATTTCTTGTTCAAATAGAGAAGGAAATCCTTAATATTTCTTTTATTCCACTTTCAGGTGCCTATCACATCTGAGACTCCCATCACTACGAACAATTCATTCTCAAAGACAACTCACTCGCCAGACAACCAGCAAATAAAGCAGTGGAGACTCAAAAATTAAAATATATTTATTTGCTAAAGAATTATGTCATAGTGGCTGGAGATATAGTACAGTGGGTTGACCTTGAAACAGTCAACCAGGGTACAATTCCCGGCATCTTATATGGTCCCCTAAGCACTCCAGGAACATTTACAGAGTGCAGAGCCAGGAGTAAGCCCTGAACATTCTCAGGTGTGATCTTCTTCCCCAAATAAAAAGAATTATGCCATCAAAATAACAAAGACCTCTAAATTAGTATGTCATAATCAAATAAATGCATGTCATTTACTATATAGAGCTAGAATTCTAGTCATCCCTCAACTAGAATTCTGAGATATTACTACTGTATATTAACTCATCTTGTCATCATTTCTGATGCAATGTGACTCTGAATCTTAAAGGCAACCTGTCCATTTCTTTTATTTTATCTTGATTCTGCTCTTCCCTGACTCTAACATTCTCTATCTGGATTTGATTCCATTCACAGAATTATACAAGTCTGATGTTCATAAGGGTAGTCAGTTTACGCAATTATGCAGTGACATCTATCTAGCCTTTTTAACTCTGACCAACTTAATATCCACTAAAGTCCACCGAAGTCTCTTTGATTGACACTTTTAGGACAGTGTCATCTTCTATTTTCAAAAGTTTTGACACGAAGACAAATCTCACTGGCTAAAGCTTCCAGTTCTCATATTTCACCCACTCTCTTTCACAATTCTGATTCACATCCTCCTCATAAATTCCAGCATTTCAACTCATCCCTCTCCACCCAGTTCTTACCTAGTGATTGCTGAGGTTAATGATGCACTTATCTCATTTCCACTTACCCACTAAATTTCTTCTGTAACCACACTGCAAAAGTCCAATTCCAGATATACCCAACAATCTATTCTTCTCAAATACTATCTTCCTAGGCTACTGAATGATGAGATGGAGAAAATCATATAAAGTAATTGATTTCAAAGTTAATTGTGATGTAGCATTTGCAGATCCTATATCCTTTGTGAAACTTTGATTTCAAAGGTTCCACATTTTAGCACACATTAGATTCACCCACATTCAGAGATTATGAGTTGGTATATTTGGGATGGAGCCCAAGAATTTCATAAGCATATCAGATAATTCAAATGACATGTCCTATCTCTTTTTCCGTGGCAGAAAAATATTTGTTTCTGACCCTTCCACCCCACCCAAGATCCCAGTTGCAACTCTCCTTGGCTAGTGATCTTTTTCTACAATCCACTTAAAAAATAGACTCATTGACAATTATACTTTTTGTTTACACCTGCTCAAAAGGTTACACACTTTTATTTATATTGTGTTCTTTTCCTCAGCGTTCCTTCTAAAGTAATCCATCATTTTGATGTTCTGTTGAAGACACTTTGGTCCTTGTCTGTGATTAATATTCTCTTTACCTTTATCTCTGTCAAATATTTTTGAATTCTTTAAAAAAAGTTCTGTCAAAATATTGCCTTCTTTTTCCAGCCCTGGAATTCCTAAAACAAGCTCAGATCTTACCTAAAAGCATTCCTTCAATTTTTTTCTCAAATTATATTGTCTTAGGCTTCCATAGCAAAAAATCATGCATAGACAGAACAGTTTGAGCAACAAATATTTACTAGCTTATAAAAAAAAGGATAATCTGTCACTGTCACTGTCACTGTCACTGTCCTCCCATTGTTCATCAATTTTCCCAGTAACATTGTCATATTTGTTGTTACTGTGTTTGGCATATAGAATGTGTCATAGGTAGCTTGCCAGGCTTTGCTGTGTGGGCGAGATACTCTTGGTAGCTTGCCGGCTTTAGAGAGGGGCGGAGGAATCAAAGGCAGAGGAATCAAAGGCAGAGGAATCAAACTCAGGTCGGCCTGGTCTGCCGCGTGCAAGGCAAACATCCTACCCACTGTGCTATAGCTCCAGTCCGAAGGATAATCAATATAAACAAAATCCTATAAGAATTCTTTCCACTCCCTAGAAACCATAAGTGTCTCAGAAATAATGCTTTGTATTCATTTGGGTCAGTGGATTCTGAGGAAGCTTTCTATGACCCTGGAAAGGAATAACTCATCTCTCTGAAAAGTTAAAAAAATAGTTTATTGTCACACTCAACATGGATATATAAGCTAATAGCACCAAGTGTTATAGACGCCAATCTTATAAATTTGGGAGCTGGGGAGTAACCTTCTAATTCGGCTGACACGGACATTAGCAGGACATAAAGACAGAATATACTTGAGTCCTTAATGATAGCTCTAAGTTACTGGATCAATTAACCCTCAGAACCTCTTAATCTGTGCTTGCAGTTATGTAAGCCAATATTTCATGTCTTCAAACTACTTTGAATGGAATATGTTTAGTATCAGTAGCAAAAATCCGTGTGGCCGGAGAGATAGCATAGCAGGTATAGCTATAGCTCTTGCTTTGCATGTGACTGACCTGGGTTTGACTTTAGGCACCCCATATGATTCCGGTACTTGTGCAAAATAGTTCTCAGGATTGCAAAAGGTGTTGGGGACTACCAGCAATGCACTAGATTGTGCTTGAGGTAGGGAATAAGTACGTACTGCTGGACTTTTAATCCAGGCCTCCCACATGCTAAGCATGTGCTGTACTCTAAGCATATGCCCAAGTCATACCCAGGGCCCTCTTAC